GAAAATGCATGAAGAGAGGAGGTGTTTTTGTTTTGTTTTGTTTTGTTTTGGTGAGACAGAGTCTCACTCTGTTGCTTAGACTGGAGTGCAGTGGCGTGATCTCAGCTCACTGGAACCTCCGCCTCCCAGGTTCAAGTGATTCTTCTGCCTCAGCCTCCCAAGTAGCTGGGATAATAGGCACGCACCACAATGCCTGGCTAATTTTTATATTTTTAGTAGAGACAGGGTTTTACCATCTTGGCTAGGCTGGTCTTGAACTCCTGACCTCAGGTGATCCACCCGCCTCGGCCTCCCAAAGTGTTGGGATTACAGGTGTGAGCCACGTCAACTGGCTGAAGAAAGGAGTTTTAAAGAGAACTTGCAAGTAGACAAGGGCAAGCCTGCTTCACTAGGTAATCTGGTAGGAAAGGTGTTAAACCAAGAGTTAAACAGCCTGATTCCGTATCCTACCTCTGCTACTTACTAGTGGAGTAATCAACCCAGCCCAGTTTTCCAGAGACTCTCCCAGTTTTAGCACTTAAAGTCTTCCATCCCAGAAAGCTCCTCAGTGTCAGGTGAACCCAAATGGTTGGTTATTGCACTTCCTAGCTTATCTCTTTGAGCCAGTCACTTCTTACCTTCTCTGTGCCTAAATTACCTTACTGGAAACAAGTGATAATAAATTTTTCCTTCACTAAATCCCAGAATGATGACAATGAAATTATGGGAAAAGATTGTGAGCAAATTTTGTTACCTTTAAATCATTATACAAATGTAAGAATTTAATATATCCGCAGTGTCTTCTCAAATTCAGTATCACAATGTGGTCATCTTCGTGTTGGACTTCATTATGAATTTTTATCAAGACTAAATTATTGAAGACTCTGGCTGGGCACAGTGGCTCACACCTATAATCCCAGCACTTTGGGAGGCCAAAGCAGATGGATTGCTTTAGCCCAGGATATCAACACTACCAGCCTGGGTGACAAAGTGAGACCCTGTCTCTAAAAAAAAAAAAAAGAACTATATGCAGAGTGAGCGATTAATATTTGCTATCCTACATATCTCTGGGATTTTTTTCCACTATAATAGAGCTGCACATTCTTTGTATATGAATTTTATGTCAGTGGAGTTTTTTATGAAACAAAAAGCAAGATGAGATACTACTTCACATTTACTAAGATGGCCATAATCAAAAAGAAAGTTAATCATGTGTTGGTGAGGATGTGAGAAAATGGAAAGACCTATACATTGTTGGTGGGAAAAAAATGTAACAAAAACAAAGTAAAATTATGTCCCTGCTTTGGAAAATAGCCTGGTAGTTCCTCAGAAGGTTAAACATAGTTATCATATGTTTATATCATACTTTATATCATAGTTCTATTACCTAGTAATCTATTCCTAGGTATATACCCCAGAAAAATTAAAACATATGTTCAGCACAAATGCTTGTACACAAATGTATATAAAAGAATTATTCATAATAACTAAAAAGTATAATCAACCCAAATGTCCATCAACTGATCCATAAATAAAATGTGGTATATCCATAAAATAGAATACTATTAGGCTTTTAAAAGGAATTAAATATCAACTCATCTCATGCCTGTAATATTAGCACTTTGGGAGGCTAAGGCTGGTGGATCATGAGGTCAGGAGTTCAAGACCAGCCTGATAAACAAGGTGAAGCCCCGTCTCTACTAAAAATACAAAAATTAGTCAAGTGTGGTGGTATGCACCTGTAATCTCAGCCACTCAGGAGGCTGAGGCAGGAGAATCACCTGAACCCAGGAGGTGGAGGTTGCAGTGAGCCGAGATTGCGCCATTGCACTCCAGCCTGGGCAACAGAGCAAGACTCCATCACACACAAAAAAAGGATTTAAGTATCAACTCATGTTACAATATGGTGAACTTTTAAAACATACTAACTGAAAGAAATTCATTGGAGATTACATATTTTATAATTCCATTTATATGAAATTTCCAAAATAAGCAAATAGACAATAAAGATTAGTGGTTGCCTACCTGCTGGGGTGGAAAAACGGAGTGATAACTGGGGAGAAATAGGGAATGGCTGCTAATGGGTACAGGGGTTTTTTTGGGGGGTGATGATAATGTTCTAAAACTGATTGTGGTGTTAGTTGAACAGCTCTGTAAATACACTAGTAGCCACTAAATTGTACACTTTTAATTGATTTATGTGGTATGTAAATTATAACTCAAATAAAAAATATTCAGTTGCAATTCCAGAATGTTAGTTTCTTTCCCAAATTTATATAAGCAAAAATAGGCCAGGTGCGGTGGCTCACGCCTGTAATCCCAGCACTTTGGGAGGCCAAGGCAAGCAGATCACCTGAGGTCAGTTCGAGACCAGCCTGACCAACATGGAGAAACCCCATTTCTACTAAAAATACAAAACATTAGTTGGGTATGGTGGCACATGTCTGTAATCCCAGCTACTTGGGAGGCTGAGGCAGGAGAATCACTTGAACTCAGGAGGTGGATGGTGCAGTGAGCCGAGATCATGCCACTGCACCCAAGCCTGGGCGACAAGAGCAAAACTTTATCTCATAATAAGAATAATAATGAAGTAAAATAAAATAAAAATGGCCTGTCCCAGTTGACTTTTTTGTAAAAATTGATAAGCTGATTTTAAAATCTATATGGAGTTGCAAGGGACCCAGAATAGCCAAAACAGCCTTGAGAAAGAACAAAAAGCAGGAACATTCACACTTCCCAATTTCAAAATTGACCACAAAACAATGGTAATCAAGATAGTGAGGTACTAGCATAAGGACAGACATAGAGATGAATGGAATAGAATTGTGAGTTTAGAAGTAAGCCTCCTATATGTTTATGTTCAACTGATTTTTTTTTAAATTTTACATATCCCTGGGTGGAGATTTATCAACTGATCTTTGACAAAGGTGCTAAGACCATTCGATGGGGAATAAATAATCTTTTTAATAAATAGTGCTGGGACTACTGGATATCCACATGCAAAATGAAGCTGAACCCCATCTCATACCATATATGAAAATTAACTCAGGACGGGGTGCAGTGGTTCAAACCTGTAATGCTAGCACTTTGGAAGGTTGAGGCCGGCAGATTGCTTGAGCCCAGGAATTTGAGATCAGCCTGGGCAACATGGTGAAACCCTGTCTCTAACAAAAAATACAAAAAATTAGCCAACTGTGGTGGTGCACAGCTGTAGTCCCAGCTACTCAGGAGACTGAGGTGGGAGGACCACTTGAGCCCAAGAAGTTGAGGTTGCAGTGAGCTGTGGTCATGCCACTGCACTCCAGCCTGAATGACAGAGCAAGACCCTGTCTCAAAAAACCAAAACAAAAACAAAAGAAAAGAAAAAGAAAGACATAAGCCTTCCACCAATTAATCAATTGGCCAACGCATTAGAATATATTGGAACTCCTGTTAAAGCGCAAGATATGTAGCATTGATAGGGTTATTTGGGTGCCAGACCTTGTGGAAATTTTTCAAAAAAGCATGACATTGGACCTACTATGACAAGTGTATAATTTAGAGAAGATATAAGATCTGCACACCTGAAAAGATCACATCTGAAACAAACCATCAGTGTATGAAGAGACCATTAGCTTAGGCCTTGAGCTCAATTCCCAGTTCTCTCACTCACTAGCTATGTGTACCTTTCCAGATGTGTTTCTCCCTAGTGATCAGTACTGTGATTAGACTTCATGGACCAAGACCCCCCGACTGGACTGGATACTTCAGAGAACTTCACTCTGGCTTCCTCTAGCTGAACTCTTCCCAGTGGGGCAGGAGTCTGTGGGGCTTTGGGACACGTCCACACTTCTTCTAGACCACATTCTTCATACCTGGATCTTCAAAATTCCCTCCATTTAGACCCAAGCTCACTCCTGAGACCTAAGAGGGAGTTTTCACCAGGCCTAGCCTCCTGGGGACACTGGTAGCCACAGGCAGCTGTTTGAGGAGGGGGGGCATATGGATAGAACTTGGACATGTGAGAGAGTGGGAAGAAAGGAGCGTACTTCATAGAGTAGGGAGGAGCTCTATTATGCTCTAGGCATAATATCTCTCAAATATTTTGGGGAGTCCTGATGTTAATTGGACTGGGTTGGCTACATGATGTAGCTTGTATAAGATTCCCGGTACAATGTCTAGAATTTACTAGACACTCATGATACAGTAGGCTATTATTAAGTATTATTATTTTTATCATTGTGAGCCAAATTCATGCTCCAAAGTTTGCTGCAGGTTCAGTCCTACCCATTTAAGCAAAAGCAGACATGGCATAGTTCAGCAGGGCCATTTCAACGATGCAATGATGTACTGATGAACTCAGCGGGCTTCATGTAGAAGACGCATAGCTGGTTATCAGAGAGCCAGGAAAAGAAGTCTGTAATAATCAGATTATAAGTTATAATATTTGTGTTAGGGGAGGCGAGAGAGGGTAATGAATTTTCCACTGAGGCCTCTAAAAGACCTCAGTTAATTTTAATGGCTTTTAAATGAATGACTGTTTATGGAAAAAGCCAGGGTTTTGTGAGATCTATTCAAATATTTTGATATACAAGCTTATATTAACCATCTTAGAGGGCCTACATGGGTATATTTTTCTGATTTAAATAAGGCCTGACTTTTTAAGAAAAAGTTTTGCACTTATTTTTAAAGGAAAAAAGCTTATGTATAACTTGAGAGTTAAACTCAGTATTCAAATACTTGTGATAAAAGGCTCAGGCACTGTCTTCATTCCCCATTCTTATAACACAAAGAGATGTCATCAGCCAATACAGCATGTTTTGCTGCATTCAAGACCCAATGTCTCATTCCATGGACCCATCCATCTTCTAAAATACAAGGAAGTGGCTGAGAATCTCTTTATTTCCTTTCACGAAATCACCTTTTCTTTTTCATTTTCACATGCTTGGTCATGCGAGGTAAGTTCTGCAGCCTCACTCTGACAGCTCCAGTTGTGTGCTTGCCCATCTTAGTTGCCCCCTTCCACCTCCCAGGGACGTCACCACATGGTCTGTCTACACCAGCTGGCAGGCTTCTGGGTCATTTTTATTTCCCTTCAGTCTTCCCAGGTCACCAGAGACTGGAAAGAACAGAAGGGAGAGTATCAGAAGCAGTGGGTGTAGTAGAGGAGTGAGCAGGAGAAAGCCCATATCTGAACATATGTGGCTTCTGTGTCTTTGAACTCGACATGGGGTGACCTCATATGGGAGAGCAATTGTTTTCCAGAATAGAATAGGAATCACCAGGGCTCTGTTTATCATCTGCCCAATTAATTAATAAGTCATTATGGGAAATAGAGAAGTGTGGCACGATCCTTATCCTTAAGCTTAAAACTCTTTTGAAGAGAAGAAACCTGGAAAAGAAGAAACTGCGTGAGGAAGACAATATTTAAGAGAAGCTGGGCAGTAATGAGGTGATGCTGATGTTTCAGAGAAGGGAGAGATGAAGAGGAGCTGGATCTGAGAAGAGATTTCCTAGGAAGAGGACCCTGGACAGCCTTGAAGATTGGGCAGAATTTGGCAAGCTTTGGGGGAAGGGAAGGTGTTCTAGGCTTAGGGAACAGCTCCGATCCATAAGCCCAAATTATCATGGACACCCTGAATCTAGAAGACAAAATAAGAAAAATGTTCTTTCTGGTTAGCTCTTCTTGGTTGCCAAAATTTAAATCAGATGTACCCACAGTTTTCAGGGTAAATTTTGTCTACTGTCACTGCTCTGTACTTAACCATAAGAGTTCAATAAAACAGTGAGGATGAGGACATTTTTTTTCTGACTTGTTCTTTATATTTTGGCCTTCCTTTTCAAATGCTTCAAAGACCTCCAAAGCACTATTAAAGAAAGGATACACAGCTATGACACAATGAAGAATGAAAGTTAAAATATGCGCGCGCGCGCGCGCACACACACACACACACACACACTCCCAAGTCTCTGTTACAGCTGATGAACAACCGTGGCTTTAAAAAAAAAATACCACCAGTCCCTGAGCAGAATTCCTTGCTTAGCTTAATGACCTTTAAGAAGTCAGCTAAGCAGAGTAACCTATAAAATAAAAGCATAGAGACAGAATTTCTCCCATCCTTTTGCTCAACTAAAAGTGTACTCTATTCATTTCGATGGCAACAACAGCTTTAGTGAATTAGAACAACCCGAACCTACCAGAAAGAATGAGAGTAAACCATTCAGCCAACCCCAATGACCGGGGGAGGGAGAGCAGCGAGCCTGCAAATCCCCTTACTCACCGAAATGGGCCCTTTTGTGTGATGTCCTGTGGAGGCAGCAGTCCGGGCCGCTATATACACAGCGACGCTCCCCCAGTCCCACACAGCACCGAGAGCACGTCTGCTTGCTTCCTTCAGAATGGGAAAGGTAAGTCCTGGGTACCGGGCGCTCGGCCTTGGCCCAGGTAGTGGTCTCCGTGGGGGCCAATCGCTCCTTGCTCCCACATCTTCCATTTTGCAGATCACCTTCTATGAGGACCGGGCCTTCCAGGGCCGCTGCCACGAATGCACCGCTGACTCCCCCAACCTGCAGCCCTGTATCAGCCGCTGCAACTCCATCCGGGTGGAGAGCGGCTGCTGGATGATCTATGAGCGCCCCAACTACCAAGGTCAGCAGTACTTCCTGCGGCGCGGGGAGTACCCAGATCACCAGCAATGGATGGGCCTCAGCGACTCCATCCGCTCCTGCCGCCTCATCCCCCCGGTGAGTGTGGCTCTGTCTTTGCCTTCCATCTTTTTGAAAATACAAGCTATTTAATGATATTATTCTTTGTTGTTGTTGTTGTTGTTGTTGAGACAGAGTCCCGCTCTGTCACCCAGGCTGGGGTGCAGTGGCGCCATCTCGGCTCACTGTAGCCTCACTTCCTGGGTTCGGATTCTCCTGCCTCATCCTCCTAAGTAGCTGGGATTCCAGGCATGCACCACAACGGCCAGCTAATTTGTTGTGTTTGTGGTAGAAATGGGGTTCACCATGTTGCCCAGGCTGATCTCGAACTCCTGGCCTCAAGTGATCTGCCTGCCTCGACCTTCCAAAGTGCTGGGATTACAGGCATGAACCACCGCATCTGGCCTATTTAATCACATTATTCGTAAACCAAATAGTTCCAACTAGAGGACAGAAAGTGGAAGTGACAGTACAAGCCAACCAGTCTAGAACGATGTCTCAGATGGGAAGCCGTTCCTCATAAACTCTGTTGTTTTTTTTAAAATCACATGCTCCCAGATTTTATATTTTAAACATAATCAAAAAGTTGAAAGATCACAGACTAATTAAGAAAAAGCAGGACATGGAGGAGACTAAATTTACCATCTGTTCAAAATAAAATGTATTAAATGTTCATTTCAAGCCATAGCAAGTCAGAAATCAAACATATCAAAATGTATAAATATAACCTGGGGCTGTTTAATCGATTAAAAGATACTTCTGTTTGCTTTATCTTACTTTTCTACTTGATTATTCCTCCTAGAGAAGATAGGATCCTGCCTTCTGATTTCTATTCTAATTTAATGGTCAGTACGTATTAGCTCAGTTAGAGGTATAAATTAGAGAAAAGGCTAAATCTGAAACTGAAGTTTGAGATTCCACATTTTCTGGGGAGTGATTGCAGGGTTCTTAGAACTGTGGCATGTGGGAGTCATGGGATACAGTGTCATCAAAACAGAACTGAATGAAGGTGATCCCTGCTTCTGAGGGAAATGAGTAAGTTGAGAGCAGGAGGCTAGAAAGGAAACTTAAAAGTCGGACAGGTTGAAATTTGAACTGAAGACTAGGAACAGTGGCTTAAGCCTGTAATCCCAGCACTTTGGGAGGCCAAGGCAGGCAGATCATGAGGTCAGGAGTTCGAGATCAGCCTGGCCAACATGGTGAAACCTTGTCTCTTCTAAAAGTACAAAAATTAGCTGGGCATGGTGGCATGCACCTGTAGTCCCAGCTACTCAGGAGGCTGAGGCAGATGAATCGCTTGAACTTGCGAGGTGGAGGTTGCAGTGAGCTGAGATTGAGCCACTGCACTCCAGCCTGGATGACAGAGTGAGATTCCGTCTCAATTAAAAAAAAAAAATTGAACTGAAACTGGGGTTATGAAAGCAGAGATAAGGAAAACATGTCATTTTGTTTTACAAGAGCTTAAGAGTCCTTGCTCCATAGGTTACATAAAAACAAATACATTAGTCTTACAGAAAATAGCTAAATGTTGCTATCTTTTAAACAATGGTAATATATCAAATGATCAGAGCTCAGTGGCTCAGGTCTGTAATCCTAACACTTTGGGAGGCTGAGGTGATTGGATCACTTGAGCCCAGGAGTTTGAGACAAGCCTGGCTAACATAACAAGACGCTGTGTCTACCAAAAAAGATACAAAAAATCAGCCAGATGTGATGGTGCACACCTGTAGTCCCAGCTACTAGGGAGGCTAAAGTGGGAGGGTCACTTGAGCTCAGGAGGCTGAGGGGGCTGTGAGTGATGATCATGCCACTGCACTTCAGCCTGGGTGACAGGGGGAGGCCCTGTCTCAACTAACGTGTGTGTGTGTGTGTGTGTGTGTGTGTGTGTGTGTGTGTGTGTCTGTGTATAGTAGTGAATACCAAATATCTAAGACAGATCTCAGTCGATTCTGAAAGTTTATTTTGCCAAGGTTAAGGACACACCCATGACAGCCTCAGAAAGTCCTGAGACATGTGCCCAAGGTGGTTGGGGATACAGTTTGCTTGTATACATTTTAGGGAGACTTGAGACATCAATCAATACGTGTAGGATGTAAATAGGTTCAGTCTGCTAAGGCAGGAAATAGGGGCTTCATGGTTAGAAGCAGATAAGAGAAAAAAGGTTCTTTTGAGTCCTTGGCAGCTTTCCACTGAATACGCAATTTAGTCTGGCTCAGTGAATCTGCATCTTTACATAAACAGTAGGGGAGAGGAAGCAATCAGATATGCATTTGTCTCAGGTGAGCTCTGAGGGATGACTTTGAATAGAATGGGAGGCAGCTTTGCCTTAAGCAGTTCCCAGCTTGGCTTTTCCCTTTAGCTGAGTGATTCTGAGGTCCCAAGATTTATTTCCCTTTCACTATTTGTATATAATATGACGCTTAGCTTTCCAATGATTCTCAGTTTTCTCCTTTGAGAAAGGCCTTCTCAAATAACAGGCACTAAAGTGATGTGATAAATTTTATTGCAAGCAAATCTTGACTCCCAAAGACCTCGATCTGCCCATGAATCATTAGACTTAGCAGTGGGTGGCTGGGGATGGGACAGCCCCTTCACTTTGCAACTTGGTTGTTCTAGAAGCAAACTTGGCCTGGGAGAACTTTTCTAGGCAGCTGTAGCAGGGGAGGTGTAGGGACTGGAACTTGAATTTCAATCTATTTTTGTTCGTTTCTTGCTTTTCTGTCTGCTACTGCAGCACTCTGGCACTCACAGAATGAAGATCTACGAGAGAGATGAATTGAGAGGACAAATGTCAGAGCTCACAGATGACTGTCTCTCTGTTCAGGACCGCTTCCACCTCACTGAAATTCACTCCCTCAATGTGCTGGAGGGCAGCTGGATCCTCTATGAGATGCCCAACTACAGGGGGAGGCAGTATCTGCTGAGGCCGGGGGAGTACAGGAGATTTCTTGACTGGGGGGCTACAAACGCCAAAGTTGGCTCTCTTAGACGAGCCATGGATTTGTACTGAAGTATTTAGATTCTCCACTTTTCTCCTTTAAAATCTAATAAAATATTTAGCTTGTGTTTCTGGCACTAGTAGAGTTCTGTCTTTCTTTCAACCTATTAAGCATTTATAAGCGATTATGGCACTCGGCTAACCATGATAACATGTTTTCAAGATGGGAAGCTGTGATATTGTGCCAGAATTGCTAGCCTTTGCTTACCGGTAATAACTAAAATAAGCAGCCCAGGATAACTAAGATCTGTGTGTAAACAAATGCTTATCTTGACTTCTGTAAACCATTGAAGTAATAAACAGAATGACAAAAGTCCCCTGGCCCTTGGAATGTCCGGAGACCCCCACCCTCGTCTCCGCCCAGGAGGTGAATTACAGAATCCCCTAGCCCTTGGAATGTCTGAAGCCTTTTCATCCCCATCCCCGCTCCTCACCCCACTCCCAAGGTGGTTTTTCGGGTATAAAAAGTCTTGGCGGCTGGGCATGGTGGCTCAAGCCTGTAATCCCAGCACTGTGGGAGGCCGAGGCGGGTGGATCACGAGGTCAAGAGATCGAGACCATCCTGGTCAACATGGTGAAACCCCGTCTCTACTAAAAATACAAAAAATTAGCTGGGCATGGTGGCGCGTGCCTGTAATCCCAGCTACTCAGGAGGTTGAGGCAGGAGAATTGCCTGAACCCAGGAGGCGGAGGTTGCGGTGAGATGGCGCCATTGCACTCCAGCCTGGGTAACAAGAGCGAAACTCCGTCTCAAAAAAAAAAGACACGTAAATGAACTGGTCCCTCTTACCTATGGCACTCCTATCCTTCTAACACCATGCCTTCCCTCTCACTTCCATTGCCAATACCTCATTCCACCATGAGATTTCCAGTGCAAATATAATTCACTGTGTTTTACTATATGTGCTTTGTGAAAGAATTTCAGGACATTTACAAAAACCACATGCATGTGAGGAAACTCAGCCTCATGTCATTTCAATAGAGAGTAAAGTATGATGACACATAGAAAATAATACTAAGTGGAAAATAAGGAATTGAAATTTTCTGGAGAAATTTGTTGGACTGTATGTTTGTTTTCTTTGGTTTTTAAAAATGCATTAAGGTTAGTCAGGCACAGTGGCGTGCACCTGCAGTCTCAGCTACTCAGGAGGCCGAGGCAGGAAGATTGTTTGAGCCCAGGAGTTCAAGTCTAGCCTGAGGAACAGAGCAAGAGTTCCTCTCTTAAAAAACAAATAAATAAAAATTAATTAATTAATTAATTAAGGTTGCTAATAAAAAAGTGTGCTACAATAAATTTTTAAAATTAAAAAAATTATGGTACAATAAATTTTAAAAATTCAAAATAAGTGGCCAAGTGCGGTGGCTCATGCCTATAAGCCCAGCACTTTGAGAGGCTGAGGCAGGCGGATCACCTGAGGTCGGGAGTTCGAGACCAGCCTGACCAACATGATGAAACACCATCTCTACTAAGAATACAAAAATTAGCTGGGCATGGTGGTACATGCCTGTAATCCTAGCTACTCAGGAGGCTGAGGCAGGAGAATTGCTTGAACCTGGGAGGCGGAGATTGCAGTGAGCTAAGATCGTGCCATTGCATTCCAGCCTGGGCAACAAGAGCGAAACTCCATCTCAAATTAAATAAATAAATAAATAAGGAAATTGGGTCTGAGGAAAAACAGGAGTAGGAGAGACAAGACAGAAACAGTTCAAACCCGAGTTGTGTGCTGTGAGGTGCTTTGTTCAGTGTAGATAGATCCAGATTTGGATCCAGCAGCCAGCAAGGCAGAGAAGGAAACAAGATCCAACAAATCAATTAACTATTCAAGATAAGCCTAACCATCGTCAGTAACAAAACTTAAAAGAAAATTTTCTTGTGGGTCTTCATAAAGAGGGTACTAAGGAAGCACCATCCTCAAAAACATCCTGCAGAAATTAAATAAGGTTTCGTGGATGTTTCATATAAAGTTCATCACTAAAACAAACTAATGGCTTCAGATCAAAATTTATCAGAAGTACTCCATACTTTGAGACTCTAATGAATTTCCTCAAATCCCATCTTACGTAAGGGTGGGAGCTTTGTGTATCCACTGCCACCAACATATCCATAACCCGATGTCTTTTGTAAGTCTGGAGAAGGAATGAGTGGCTTACGCTTCTCTCAGGAGCCCTTCACTCTTAACTCCTGCCTTGGCATTGGGTGGGTCATCTTGCTTCCCACACATGCTACTATTCTGTCCTCATGTACCACACTGACCCACATAGGGGACAAGAGCTCCTTTTCTTCTAACTTCTGAACCATCTCTCACATGAGGCACTGATGTGTGCAGCTGCCTTTATTACAAAGAGTATGGGAGCACGCCGCACATTTACATCATAACAGTACATTGACACAAATTTAATATTAGATTGCCCTGCTTTATATGGCCTACAGGCTTCAAACTACTGCTGGGTGATCAGTCTTCTCTCCCTTTCTTTTTCCTTTCTTCTTGGCTGTTAGCCATACCCACAGGGCTGTTCTTATCTTTTCTTTTCTTTTCTTTTTTTTTTTTTTTGAGACTGAGTTTTGCTCTTGTTGCCCAAGCTGGAGTGCAATGGTGTGATCTCAGGTCACTGCAACCTCTGCCTCCCGGGTTCAAGCGACTCTCCTGCCTCAGTCTCCCAAGTAACTGGGATTATAGTCATGTATCACCATACCCAGCTGATTTTTTCTTATTTTTAGTGGAAATGGGGTTTCACCATGTTAGCCAAACTGGTCTTGTGTTGTATTGGACTGAGCGTAGAAAGTTAGCACCAAGACAAAAGTATGCCAGATTGCAGGGTCATTTATTATGCCGGTGACCACAGAGGACTCACGTCTCTCCAACCTGTGGCATCAAAAGGAGGGTGCCAAGACTTTTTATACCCGAAAAACCACCTTGGGAGTGGGGGTGAGGAGCGGGGATGGGGATGAAAAGGTTTTGGACATTCCAAGGGCTAGGGGATTTTGTGATTCACCTCCTGGGCGGAGACGAGGGCGGGGGTCCCTGGACATTCCAAGGTCCAAGGGATTCTGTAATTCACCTCCTGGGTGGAGACGAGGGCAGGGGTCTCCGGACATTCCAAGGGCCAGGGGACTTTTGTCATTCTCTTTGTTACTTCAGTGGTTTACAGAAGTCAAGATAAGCATTTGTTTACACACAGATCTTAGTTATCCTGGGCTGCTTATTTTAGTTATTACTAAATAACTAAAGCAAAGGCTAGCAATTCTGGCACAGTATCACACTTGAACTCCTGACTTCAGGTGATCCACCTGCCTTGGCCTCCCAAAGTATGGGGATTTCAGGCGTGAGCCACCATGCAAGGCTGAAGGGCTGTTTATTTTTATTTTTATTTTTATTTTTGATGGTTTCTCGCTTTGTCACCCAGGCTGGAGTGCAACGGTGTGATCTCAGCTCACTGCAACCTCTGCCTCCCAGGTTCAAGCAATTCTCCTGAGTAGCTGGGACTACAGGTGCGTGCCACTATGCCCGGCTAATTTTTGCCTTTTTTTTTTTTTTTTTTAGTAGAGATGGGATTCACCAAGTTGGTCAGACTGTCTCAAATTCCTGACCCCGTGATTTGCCCACCTCAGCCTCCCAAGTGCTGGGATTACAGGCGTGAGCCACTTTGCCCCGTCCTGGGCTGTTCATTTTTTTATAGGAACTTCTTCCATCTCATGTGCTCAAGGTCTCTATATCCAATACCCAAGGGGCTTCTAAACAGACTAGCATATAATTTGTTTCTTAAATTTTATTTATTTATTTATTTGAGACAGAGTTCATCCTGTCACCCAGGCTGGAGTCCAGTGGCATAATCACAGCCCATTGTAGCCTCACTCTCAAGGGCTCAAGTTATCCTCCTACCTCAGCCTCCCAAATAGCGGGGATTACAGGTACACACCATGCTCAGCTAATTTATTTTATTTCTAGTAGAGACAGGGTCTTGTCATGTTGCCCAGGCTGGTCTCAAACTCCTGAGCTCAAGCAATCCTCTTGCCTAGGCCTCCCAAAGTGCCAGAATTACAGGTGTGAACCACCAAACCCAGCCATAAACTCAGTCATTTGTTTTAGTTTTAGTTTTAGGTTTAGGTTTTTTGTTTTTTGTTTTTTTGTTTTTTTTGAGATGGAGTCTTACTTTGTCGCCCAGGCTGGAGTTCAGTGGGGCGATCTTGTCTCACTGCAATCTCCAACTCCTGGTTCAAGCGATTCTCCTGCCCAGACTCCCAAGTAGCCAGGACTACAGGCATGCACCACCATGCCCAGCTAATTTTTGTATTTTTAGTAGGGATGGGGTTTCACCAGGTTTGCCAGGCTGGTTTCAAACTCCTGACATCAAGTGATCCACCCACCTCTGCCTCCCAAAGTGCTGGGATTACAGGCGTGAGCCACTGTGCCTGGCCTGCACTGGGTCATTTTTGAGAGTGAAAGTATATACTACTCATAATTACAGAGGCATGAACCAGAACTGTTCTAGGCAAACTAGGATGCATATTTAGCCCTCTGTATGTGTGTATATAGAGAGAGTACAAATATATATAAAGAATCGAGAATTATTTAGTGTTAACTCTTCCTAAATCTCAGCTTTTTAACCTTTAAACTCACAACAATAGTGATGGCTTCCTGGAGATATTAATCAGAGTCCTCTGTTTGTCAACAGTAATATGTCAAACATAATTTTAAAAACCAAGAGCTTGGAGTGCTGAATTTTACGCTATTTTCCTAGAAGACATAAAATCACATATTTTGGCTGGGTGCAGTGGCTCACACCTATAATCCCAACGCTTTGGGAGGCCAAGGCAGGCAGATAACTTGAAGCCAGGAGTTTGAGATCACCCTGACCAACATGCCAAAAACCCATCTCTACTAAATTTAAATACAAAAGTTAGCTGGGCATGGTGGCACAAACCTGTAATCCCAGCTACTAGGGAAGCTGAAGCACAAGAATCGCTTGAACCTGGTAGGCGGAGGTTGCAGTGAGCTGAGGTCGTACCACTGCACTCCAGCCTGGGCAATAGAGGCTCTGTCTCAAAAAATAAAAATAAAAGTAAATCACAGTCTTT